CTTTGAATAGTGACATCTACTACCTCCCATGTTTTCTAAAATAGTTGTTCTGAGACTAATGGTCACTAGAGGGGAAGCAGGCTAGGGGACTGGGTGAAACACGTGAAGGGGTTAAGAAGTATAAATTGGTAGTTAAAAAATAGTCATGGGGATGTAAATTATAGCATATCATCAATATTGTAATAACTCTTCATGGTGCCAGGTGGGTACCAGAAATATCAGGGGAACACTTTGTAAAGTATATGATTGTCTAGCCACTACGCTATACACCTGAAACTAATACTAAATAATATTGAATGTAGAGAAACCAAGATGGCGGCATAGGTAAACATCAGAAATTTCTGCCTCGCACAACCACTTCAAAAATACAACTAAAAGACAAAACAGACATCATCCAGAACCACAGGAAGGCTGGCTGAGTGGAAATTATACAACTAGAAGGAAAGAGAAAAGCACACTGAGACTCAGAGGAGGTGCAGAAGTAAAGTGCAGAGGTACGGAGGTGCACGTGGAAAGGGCTGGCAACTGAGGACATGGTTGTCTTTCTCAATCGGGAGGGAGTCTCAAGCTCCTGACTGCTCTGAACTCCAGTTCTGAGCGAGTCTCTGGGGACCCAGACTCATACGGGGAGAAACTGGACTGTCTGGCATCAGGCAGAACTTGAGGGCGGCTTTCTCTCAGAGGTGCTTGCAGCGATTACCGGGACACTGAGACGCGGGGCCTCTTAGGGTAGAACTGAGGATCAGCCATAGCTGTTTTCTTCGTCCTGTTGATTCCCTGAGACCCTGCCCCACCCAAGCTGTGCACAGAGGCTTTTGCATATGAAAGGCCTGTCCCTTTGCAATCTGAAAATTACCTAACAAACTGAAGCTGGGTCACAGAGACCCAGAACTTCCAAAAGAAGGCCCAAGGCCCCACAGCAGCTTGCATTGCTTCACAGCTGGGCCTCATCTTGGCACCTCCAAACCCCAAACAAAGAAGAGGAATCTGCAGATCTCTCTGTAGCTCCTGCTGGGTAGCCTCAGCCAGGGGCTAAATTAGCACCTCCTTAGAGATCCAAGAGCCAGTGTACCCAGTGGTCAGAGTGGAACCATTCAGACTACAACTCCTCAGATCTATCAGGGACACACTCAGGGGGCAGACTCAGTGAGCACCAAAGCCCCATTGAAGCAAGTCTTGCCCAGAAGGGTGTCTCTAGCACAGAAGTTCTCCCACTGCAGACACAGCTGATTCTCATAGCCAATTGGCCTGGAGGTCAATTCCTCCCAGTGATACCTACAACAATCAAGGCTTAACTACAACAAGACTGTGCACATAGCCCACAAGGGGGTGCACCAAGAGTGTCCACCTCAGGTAATTGGGGAGGCTGAGCCACTGGACCCTATAGGACACCTAGCACAAAAAGCCACTCTACCAACACAGGGAAGCATAAAAAATGCGGAGACAAAGAAACAGGTCACAAATGACAGAAATGGAGGAAAGCAAACTACTGGATATGGAGTTCAGAACCAAACTTATAAGGTTTTTCAAGAATTTTCTAGAAACCGCTGATAAATTTAGTGAGACCCTCAAGAAATCTAGTGAGACCCTCGAGGTATGAAAAAGGACCAACTAGAAATTAAGCATATACTGACTGAAATAAAGAATACTATAGAGAGTTCCAACAGCAGACTAGAGGATCGCAAGAATCAAGTTAAAGATTTGAAATACGAAGAAGCAAAAAACACCCAACCGGAAAAACAAAAAGAAAAAAGAATGCAAAAATATGAAGATAGTGTAAGGAGCCTCTGGGACAACTTCAAGTGACCCAACATCCGAATTATGGGGGTGCCAGAGGAAGAGAGAGAGAGCAAGATATTGAAAACCTATTTGAAGAAATAATGACAAAAAACTTCCCCTACCTGGTGAAAGAAATAGACTTACAAGTCCAGGATGCACAGAGAACCCAAAACAAAAGGAATCCAAAGAGGACCACACCAAGACACATCATAATTAAAATGCCAAAAGCAAAAGACAAAGAGAGAATCTTAAAAGCAGCAAGAGAAAAACAGTCAGTTACCTAAAAGGGAGTACCCATACGACTGTCAGCTGATTTCTCAACAGAAACTATGCAGGACAGAAGGGAGTGGCAAGAAATATTCAAAGTGATGAATAGCAAGAACCTACAACCAAGATTACTTTACCCAGCAAAGCTATCATTCAGAATTGAAGGTCAGATAAAGAGCTTCACAGGTAAGAAAAAGTTAAAGGAGTTCATCACCACCAAACCAGTATTATGTGAAATGCTGAAAGGTATCCTTTAAAAAGAGGAAGAAGAAGAAAAAGGTAAAGGTACAAATTATGAACAACAAATACACATCTATCAACAAGTGAATCTAAAAATCAAGTGAATAAATAATCTGATGAAAAGAATAAACTGGTGAATATAATAGAATCAGGGGCATAGAAAGGGAGTGGACTGACTATTCTAGGAGGGGAAAAGGGTGTGGGGGGTGCGGGAAGAGACTGGACAAAAATCGTACACCTACGGATGAGGACAGTGTGGGGGGGTGGTAAGGGCAGAGGATGGGGTGGGAACTGGGTGGAGGGGAGCTATGGGGGGAAAAAGAGGAACAACTGTAATAATCTGAACAATAAAGATTTAATTTAAAAAAAATAATATTGAATGTAAACTATAGTTGAGAAATAAAATTTAAATAAAATGCAATAGAAGTTCTAAAAGTGTGAAACTTTTTAGAAATACAAATTCTTAGTGCTACCATCATTCCACTGAATCAACACTTTTTAGTGGTGCTCAACGGTTTGCCTTACATTACTGCTCTTCTCAATATGAATTTTTGTTTCTCTCTTTCTAATCATCAGCTCTCTTTGGTTCTTCTCAGTTCAAATCATAAGTTATGTGACCTAAGCTAAGGATATTATAAAACATGTAACTGGAGAAATTTTTTTAGCATTGACAATATTTTTCTATAGTGTGCTTAATGGTATATTTTAATAGGCACTAGAGAAAAGTTTGTTTGAACTTTACAGTCATGACAAACAAGACTGCATGGAAATTGGGGATAAAAGATACTGTGTTAAATATGTTCTATGCTTTTCAATTTGTATTTGTAAGCTTAGGGCACAGACAAGATCTGGGGTAAGTTCTTCAACACAACACTTTGCCATCCAAGAAAATTTCCAATGCTGTTATCCCTGTGTCTTACTGCTAATAATTAAAACAGCCTTTCCCCAATTATTTGAGAATTATTACTTTCAAAAATGTAATTCCTAACCTTTAGGCTTTATTTAAAGTTTAATTCAAAATTAAATATAAAGAGAATACTTGAAAGGAAAATGTGTGTGTGAATTCACAATTACTGTAATGATGATTTTCAATCTTATTATGAGAAATTATGTGCTCTGAAATGGAGATAAAAGATCACTGAGTAATTGTGATTGTAGAAAATATGCTAGGGTACTAGGCATTTCATTTGAATAGCTTTTATGTGTCTTTTTGACTGGGAAGTCTCTCGTTGTTAAAAGTTTTGCTACTGGTATAAGATCTGTGATTGTTTTAACAATTTAATGAAACTACCACCAAGTCTATATATATATATAGTTTCCCTATTATATGAAAAGTCCTGTTGTACCTATGCACTGGGAAAGACCAAGGGGACTTCTCAAGAGTGTGCATAATTGCTAGGACATAGTGGTCCATTCCATTACAGCATGAGGTGTGGGGTAATCCTTGTCCTAACTAGGACGCTGGCTTCCAGTTTGTGTGCCATCAGTAATGGAATCTGGCAGACCACAGAGACACAAAGTCTGTTCCCTGAGGCAAATGCAGAAATAGTATTTCTGCTGCATGATAAGAGTTTTTCTTTTTAAATACCTCAGGCAGAGCTGTGTGATCTATTTTACAATCTTCAGGGGGAAAACCCTCAGTGAGTGGCTCTCAACATGCATCAGAATACTTAGGGACTAAATAAAACAGAATGTTGGTCCCGCCCCAAAGAGTTACTGATCCAATTGGTGTGGGGTTGGAGTGAGCATTTGCACTTTTTTATTTTTTAAGCTTTTTTTTTATTGTTGAGACTATTACAGATGTCCTTATCTCCTCTGCCTTGCCTACCTCCAGCCAGCACCCAACCCCCTTCCCTCTGGCCATCACCACACTGTTGTCTATATGTGTCAGGCATGTAAATTCTTTGGCTAATCTCTTCACCTTCTTTCATCCAGTCCTCTCCTCCCCGCTTCCCTCAGACAGCTGTTAGTCTGTTCTCTGTTTCCATGCCTCTGGTTCTATTTTGTTTGTCAGTTTATTTTGTTCACATATAAGTGAGATGATATGGAATATATCTTTCTCCGACTGGCTTATTTTGCTTAGCATAATAATCTCCAGGTCCATTCATGCTGTCACAAAAGGTAAGAATTCCTTTTTTTAAAAGGCCACATAGTATTCCATTGTGTAAATGTACTACAGCTTTTTTATCCACTCATCTCCTGATGGGCACATGGACTGTTTCCAGATTTTGGCTATTGTAAATAACACTGCTATGAACATAAGGTTGCATATATTCTTTTGAATTGGTGTTTTGGGATTCTTAGAATATATTCCCAGAAGTGGTATCACTGGGTCAAAAGGCAGTTCCATTTTTAATCTTTTGAGGAAACTCCATACTATTTTTCACAGTGGCTACACCAGTCTGTATTCCTACCAACAGTGTACAAGGATTCTCTTTTCTCAGCATCCTTGCCAGCACTTGTCATTTGTTGGTTTACTAGTATTGATGGTAGCCATTCTAACAGGTGTGAGGTGATATCTCATTATGGTTTTAATTTGCATTTCTCTGATGATTAGTGATGTTGAGCATTTTCTCATATGTCTATGGGTTTCTGTATATCCCCTTTGGAGAAGTGTCTATTCAGGCCATTTGCCCATTTTTTAATTGGATTGCTTGTCTACCTGGTGTTGAGTTATAATTCACTTGTCTTGTGTTTTTGTTGTTTTTTCACAGGGATTCGATAAACAAGTGGATGTGTCATATATTGCCAAACATTACAACATGAGCAAAAGCCAGTTCTACAGCGTGGAAGTAGGAGACTCAACCTTCACAGTTCTCAAGCGCTACCAGAACCTAAAGCCTATTGGCTCTGGGGCTCAGGGAATAGTTTGGTAAGTGGAATGGATTTAACATATATATATATTTATAATGCATGTGTTTATAAGATGTTTTTATTGATTTTAGAGAAAGAGGTAGGGAGAGGGAGGCAGTGTGGGAGAGAATGAGAATTACCTCTCATGTGCACCTGGACAGAGGATCAAACCTGCAACCTGGGCATGTGCCCTGACAGAAAATTGAACCCATGACCCTTCCTTGTATGGGAAGACAACCTAACCTAACTGAGCTACACCAGCTAGGGCTTAACCTATATTTTTAAAGGGAACACCCTTTGTCAACTAGACACACACGCACACACACACACACACACGCGTGCGTGCATACAAACACAAACAAAAAAATCTATAAATAAATTGCATGACTGGGAGGGAAAATACATGCTACTGAAGAAAAATAAAACTATAAGCATTATTTGTAATTCATTATCCATTTGCTAACAGTATACACAACTTCACTTGTGACTACTTTTTGTGGTTTCAAAAATATTTATTACACTATAGCCAGTAAAAAAAAACCTCAGAGAACCAGAGGTTTTAGTAGCTATTATTAGTGCACATAAATTTCATTTTAATGTTTTCACATCAAGAAATGAGGGGATATGTGCTAAGATAATTAGCAAATAAAATTACCTACATTCCAAAGAAGTATAAATGCTATCTCAAATGTCTCTGTGAGTTTTAAAGTTCAATGTTTAAAGTTGTTATCTATTTAAAAAGTGGTATTTTTTAAAATTTTGCTGAATGTTTCCAAAATGGAAAGATTCTGTGATCCTTAGTAACCATTTTTTCAGACATTTTCCAGTGGCCAATTGAAATGATGACAAATCAAGATCTAATTTACCTATTTCAGATTCATAACTATTTTATTTAGATAGTTTTAAATAGTGTAGCAATTAAATGTTTAGTATGAAATATTTAGTATGAACTTATTAGTATAATAATTTTCAATCTGATAGCTTGCACTTATAAGTAAAAATTTGGGGCATGTATTATAAATACATATATTTATATTTATAAAAGATATTTATGTCAGTATTTTTATTTGTTATATAACTTACTGCTATATTAGTAATGTTCTTTTAAAAACTTAGAGGAATGGGGGGTGGGGAGTGATTAATGGGGGAACTTATATGCATATATGCATAGCCCATGGACACAGACAATATAGCGTGGTGAAGGCCTGGGAGGGGCGGGTGAGGGGTGGAGAGGGCCAATGGGGAAAAACATACAGAGGGGACATCTATAATACTTTCAACAATTAAAATAAATTTTAAAAAAATCATACACACTTTTACCAGATGAGATAAGGACTTTTTGAGCAGTTTTAGGTTCACAGCAAATGGAGAGGAAGGCGCAGAGATTTTCCCTGCATGGATTCCTGCATTATCAACATCCCCACCTGAGTGGTACACTTATTACAATTGATAAATCTACCTTGACAGATCATAATCACCAAAACCCATAGTTTACATTAGGGTTCACTCTTGCTGTTGTATATTCTATGGAGTTGAACAAACTTAAAATGACATGTGTTCATTGTTATGGTATACAAAGTATTTCTACTGTCCCAAAAATCCTCTGTGTGCCTCCACTACTCCCAGCCTCTGGAACCATTGATCTTTTTACTGTTTCCTAGTTTTGCCTTTTCCAGAATGATTTTAGATGGAATCAAACAGTATGTAACCTTTTCATATTGGCTTCTTTCACTTAGTAATATACACTTAACATTCTTTTTCATGGCTTGATAGCTTATTTCTTTTTAGAACTAATAGTCCATTGTCTGGGTGTTCCACAGTTTACTTATCCATTCACCTACTTTAGGCTATCTTGGTTGTTTCCAATTTTTTGAAAATTATAAACAAAGGTGTTTTAAACATCCATGTACAGATATTTGTGTGAACATAAGTTTTAAAGGTTTACTTTATTTTGACAACTGGTTTTAAGTTTACTCTGAATGCTTAATTACTGCAAATGGCAGAAGTGCAGGTTGGTGCACTTACTAATCCTTTTACTCCATTTAAACCTCATTTATCAAACATACCAAGTTTTTTTTATGGAAATTTGCCCAGTAAATTTCAATCTTTTATAGTGCCAATCAGTAGTTGTTTTGGAATTTGAAAGATGGAATATTTTAATATTTTAACTGTGGAGCAAACCTTTCATTTTGAAGTTATTTATACAGGTAAAGCAATTTTATTTATTTGTTTGTTTGTTTATGGTGCAGGTAGGACACAAAACAATTTCATTATTTATTAGGCAAAATGATGGTTGCCCCAAAGTTTAGGGTGCCTTGACCCTAATCTCCAGAATCCTTGAATATGTTATCTTATGTGGCAAAACAGTATGTTACCTTAGCAGATGTGATTAAGGTTAAGGGTCTCAAAATGGGGAGGTTATCCTAGAATATGCAGGTGACCCCAATCTAATCATGTGAGTCCTTGAAAGTGGGAAAGTAAGGCAGAAGAGTGGGTCAGAGAGACGCAATGGGAAGGAGAGATTCTAAATCTCAGAGAGACTTGCCTTATTGTTGCTGGCTTTGGAGATGGGGGAAAAGGGTCATGAGCCAAGAAAAAGGGTGGCCTTTAGAAGCTGGAATGGCCCACCGCTGACAATCAGCAAGAAAATGGAGGCCTCAGTCATATAGCCACAGGCATTGTAATCTGCCAATGAACCCCCGAATGAGCAAGGAAAAAAATTCTTCTCTAACACCTTCAGAATGGCACTCAGCTGCTGGCAACTTGATGCTAACCTAGTGAGAGACCAAGGGAGGACTTCTTATCTACAGAACAGAATTGTAAGATTATAAATTTGCATTGTTTCATCATCTAGGTTTGTGGTGATTTGTTGAGGCAGCAATACATGGAATAGTAAATATTTTATTATTACAAGCAGGTAAAATGAACTATAATGTTTTTAAAGGTCTTAAATATTTCAGGGTGCCTCTGTTAACCCTCTTTTGTTTGAGAAGTTCCTGCTTTAAGTCACATGTTTATCTCTGGGTAATAAGTCCCCTGCCAGCAGGGTAAAGTGTGTATGGGAGGGGCCAGTGTTAACGTGTGTATTAAATAGAGTAAGGTTTAATTTCTTTTTTAGATTACAATATATATTTAAGTTTGTATCCTACTGGATGGTTGTGTACCACTTGGAGAGTGGGATTCCCATTTAGGAGATCATTGCATTCATGAAAGACTTTAAAAATGAAATAGAAAATATAATAAGACCAAAAATTCTTATAAAGGAGGAGAGATGGGAGGAGGAGAAAACAGTGGTTACTGGCTGCCTTTTTCAAAACTGTAGAATATCAGAAAGTTTTCTTAAGGTTCTCAGTTAAGATGCTCAAATAGTTACTGGGATTATTTCATTTTTTTAAATTAAAACTCCCACGGAGAATGAGGACTGCCAGTGAAAGGAAGCTGATGGTCTTTTAATGATTCAAAAATAGATCCAAAGCAGAAATTTTGCTCAAAAAGTTAATAGATTTTCCCAGAAAGATTTGAAAATCTACCATTAAAATTTTTGTGGTATGTTTTATAGGACATTTTGGAATTCTCTCCTTTTATAGGATGGGAATCATCCTAAGTCTCTGGCGTAGTAACAAAAATATATTTCAATAAGTTAATGTCCTTGAGTAAAACTGTTAATCCAGCTTTACAAAAAATTTGTCGACAAATTTGTTAGTAAAGGGACATCTGAATTTCAAAATGTTAGCCTTGTAGTTTTCTGAGATTATTATTAGTCTTTTTGTCCATAGCTGAGGGAAATAAAACTAGGAAAGATCTAGATAAAGGGGAAGAAAAGGGATAGCATACTTCCCTTCCTATCTTTTAATTCACCACTCTGCCAGCATGTTTCTTCTTCCTGGTCCCTCTTCCATCTAGCACTGAGATATTCTTGTTTAGTTATCAAAACTAAAGTTGGGTCAGTTATGTACTATTTTTCTTATAGATCTATTCTCATGTTAATTTGTCCTCTTTTTCGACCTGCCTTTAATTTAATTTTCACTCTATGTTTTTGTCAACAATGAGTTCATCCACCTCCCTCACACCAAGCACACTTCCATTCCCAGACATGCCTTCCTCACTAAGCTTAGTCATTTTTAGCTTTTGAGTTAAAGTGGGAAATATGCGACTCTCACTTTCACTTGACTACTTCGAAGTCATTATAGGGTTATTATTTGGCATAATTTCAATATTGTTGTGTCTCAGGAAATAGAGAGGCCTGAGGAGAGGAAGAGAGATGGCGGAATGGTTGGTCTGTGGAGCAGTCAGAACACACACAGTATTTATTAGTGTTTGCTGTCTTATATGGGCACAGTTCATGGCCCCCCAGAACAATGACAATAGTAATATCAAAGATCACTGACCACAGATCAGCACAACAAATATAATAATAGTGAAAGTTTGAAATATTGTGAGAATTACCAAAATGTGGCGCAGAGACATGAAGTGAGTAAATGCTATTGGAAAAATGGCACCAATAGACTTGTTTGAAGTAGGTTTACACAAACCTTCAATTTGTAAAAAATGCAGTTTCTGCGAAGCGCAATAAAGTGAAGCACAATAAAACATGATGCTTGTATTCTGCTGCTCTGTGTGAGCAGAGAAGTCCTTGTAGATTCCCTGGTGGGGAATTGCAATCTATGAGTTATTTAACAACAGTGGTTGGGAGCCAGAAGAACAAATCATTTCAGAACATTTTTAAAAACTGTTTTTATTGATTTTCAGAGAGGAAAGGTGAGGGAAAGAGAGATAAAAGCATCAATGATGAGAGAGAATCATTGATTAGCTGCCTCCTGCTCACCCTCTACTGAGAATTGAGCCTGCAACCTGAGCATGTACCCTGACCGGGAATCGAACCATGACCTCCTGGTTCATGGGTCGACACTTGACCACTGAGCCACTCTGACTGGGCATCATCTCAGAACATTTTCCAAACATCAGAAGAGGATTGTTTCTAGCTCCAGAACAACAACAAGAAGAAGAACATAGGGAGAA